ACTTTTCTTTCATCAGATTATTATTTTTTTAATAAAGAGACACTGCAGATATACCATATTATTCCCTCCCATATTTCCCTACATGAGGTATTTGTTTTTTTAATATATATTTTTTCATATTTAGACTTTCTAGCAAAAGCATTATATATTTTTCTCTTTTAAAAATGATTAATAATAATTATTGATCTTCTTATACTGTAGGAATGCTATAAATTCACTTTGGAAAATTTGGAAATCACAGGAAATAAAAGAACATAATATTACCAATAGTACTGATAAGAAGTACACATAGGAATTTTGTTGGTTTCCTTTGTCTCCTTTCAGGGTGGGAGAATAAATGTTTATTTATTTTGCACACTTTGAAAATATATACCATATAATTTGTGAAACTTCCCCCACATTATTAATTTAAATAAATACTTTCCTAATATGCATAGTATTGCATAGCTATATCAGATTTTACTTGATTGATAAAGAAAGCCAAATAAGATTATAAACTAACACAAGTTTTACAATTTTATTTGTGTTTGATTCCTCATCCTTTTCCCCTTAGATTTTCAGTTACAAAGAAGGAACCCCCTTTAAAACAGTCCTCTTATTTTAAAATATAAACTGTATTCTTGAATTTTCAATTTCTCATTTATCCCAGTAAATAGGTCATTCCTCTTTCCCTTAGTCCTACAGAATATTCTAAGCAATTGACTGTGTCTTCTTTGAATTTGGCCACAGCATTTCTCTTTAGATAAAAAGCAACTTCCCCAAACAATTAGACTGACAACAAAAGAAAGACGTTAAAAAATAGAAAAGAAAGGAACATCATTCAAAACTCACAGCTGAAGGTTTCAAAGGCAAAAATGTCAACATTCAAAATGTTTCTCTAAAGGGCCATGATTGGATCTCCTGGTTTCACAGTCCATTTCCTCCCTGCACCATATGTCCCATTTTCCTGCTTCTCATGACGTTTGCGCCTGTGGCTGAGCAAGGAAGGAGAAAGTGAATTTTCACATTGTACAGTGAGTTAGACTATTCACAATTTACCAATAATAAATGCTTGTTTGTTTTTGTTGTTATGTGCCGTCGAGTGCCTGCGATTCATAGCGACCCTATCTATATACAGCAGCTCTGAAGCCTGCCCTGTCCTGAGCCAGTCTCACTAATTCCAATACACCAACCCCTATTGCCCCAGTCACTGTATTAATCCATCTCATCCAAGGTCTCCCTTTCTTGCATTGTCCCTCCATCCTTCCAAGCATGATATCCTTCTCCAAGGACTAGTCTCTTGTGGCCACGTGACCAAAGTAATGCGATGGAGCTTCAAAATCCTGGATAAACTTTGTTTCACCCTCTCCAAGACACACCTATTTTCTTGGCAGCCCATGGTACTGGTATGTTCAAGACCTTTCTCCAGCACCACAGTTTGAAGGTATCAATTCTTCTGTCACACTTAGTCATTTTCTATCTTTCAGATGCATAGGAAGCAATTGCAAAGACCATGGCCTGGATTAGGCACACCTTAGTCTCTAGACCGGCATCATTGCTTCTCTGGAGAGGTCCGACAGCAGATTTTCCCAATGCATTCTCTTTTGATTTCCTGACTGCTTGAGCTAAGAGTGTTGACTGTGTTAGTCTATCAGTATCAGCATGCATATTATCACTTCTCTCTCACATATCACTTCACAGTCTGTTTTGATATATAATGGAAGACATTTTTTCAGCTCAATTGCTATCACACCTGCAGTTTTGAAACAGTATTTCTCTTATTAAATTTTGAAGTTTTTCGTTTTGGTGAATTATCAAATACATTTTTCTGAATGTGGGTAGGTATCAACATAGTAAATATATATTTTTTAGCAAAGATTGAACATATAAATGATATTAGCCAAAGCATGTATATTCTTCTTGTTCCTCTCTCTGAGAGTGTTTTTATTTCCAGGACAGTTTGCATCATGAGGCAGTTAGTAGTATTTCAGAAAGAGCAGCAGGATCCAAGACTGTACTGGGTTATACTATAACACTTTGAAGCAAATTCACTCCACATTATATTTGGAACTATAACCATATTTTATTTGTCTTGGAATGTGGCCATCAAAATGTTAGGTTGACTCAACCTGATTTGTTCACTTGAACTGGGAACATTCTTTTTTATTCAATGGATAATTTTTTGCATTTTTGAGTTTGAAAGTTCCATTTTAGAGAGCAAGAAGTTATTTAAATTTTTTACAGGACTCAACTAGTATGAATTCAGCTGTTGGAGTTTAGAACTTTTGTACAAGCTACAGTCATAATCATGACATTATTAGGCTTATTATTGCTAACACCTGGAAACACATTTCTAAGATTTGATCCTTGCCATTTGTTTCATCTATAATTTTCCTGCCTTTGAAACGTTATTCAACTGTAACTAATTAACCCACCTAGGGATATTATAGCTAATGTTAGATGGATCTTGGCAGAAAGCAGAGAATACCAGAGGAATGTATATCTGTACTTCATTGACTATGCAAAGGCTTTTGACTGTGTGGATCACAACAAGCTATGGCTGACTCTGAGAAGAATGGGGAAACCCAGAACATTTGATTGTGCTAATGCAAAACCTATACTTGGACCAAGAGGCAGTCGTCAGAACAGAGCAAGGAGACACTACATTATTTAAAATCAAGAAAGGGGTCCGTCAGGGATGAATTTTGTCTCCATACCTTTTCAATCTGTATGCAGAACAGATCATCCGAGACACTGGGCTGTATGAGGAAGAATGTGGCATCAGGATTGGTGGAAGAATCATCAACAACCTGCATTATGCAGATGACACAACACTGCTTGCTGAAACTGAGGAGGACCTGAAGCGCTTGCTGCAGAAAGTCAAGGACTACAGTCTTCAATATGGATTGAAGCTCAACATCAAGAAAACAAAGATTCTCACCACTGGGCCAATTGGCAGCATCAGTATGGATAGTGAAGAGATTGAGATGGTTAACAGTTTTAGTTTACTTGGTTCCACTGTCAACACTTTTGGTAACAGCAGCCAGGAAATCAGGAGACGAATTGCATTGGGAAAGTCAGCTGTGAGGGCTCTCTCAAGAGTACTGAAGAGCAACGACATCAGGCTGGAGACTAAGGTGCGCCTGATCCAGGCTATAGTCTTTGCAATTACGTGCTATGCATCGGAGAGCTGGACAGTGAATAGGGATGATAGAAAGAGGATTGATGCCTTTGAGCTGTTGTGCTGGAGAAGAGTGTTGAATATACCATGGTCTTCTAGGAGAATAAACATGTTTGTCCTGGAGAGGGTGAAGCCGGAACGCTCCTTGGAGTCAAGGATTCTAAATCTTCGTCTGAAATATTTGGGCATTTTGCAAGGAAGGACTGGTCCTTGGAGAGTGACATCATGTTTGGGAGAGTGGAGGGGCGGTGCAGGAGAGGAGGAACCTAGATGAGATGGATCTATCCTGTGAGTGGAGTGGTGGGAATGAGTGTGTTTGAGACAAGGTTGGCACAGAATAGAACGGCGTTTAAGACTCTTGTACATAGGGTCACTATGAGTCGCAAACGACTCGATGGCACATAACAACAACAAGGAGGAAGGTTAGTTAGCCTTGAGACCACATAGTTAGTGCTATATTAAAACATAACCCTTTTAGAAATGTACTAGAAGTAAAGGAGTTTGAGTGTTTCTATGTACCCAGGGCTGGAGGAATGACACTGGGGAGTAGGGACAATCAGCTGTCACGAACTACGTAATTGTTTCAAAAGATGAGATCTATTACCTTCAGAGTGTTCCTAAGAGGCAAGGATGGCGAAGATTCTCTTTACCTACTTAGCATGTTGTTACGAGGAGCTAATCCTAGGAAAGGGCCATCACACTTAGAAAGGTGGAGCGTGAGCGAACGAGAAACCTTGAATCAGATGGACTGACACAGTAACTGTGGCAATGGTTTCAAGAATGTCAAATACGATGAGGAGGGCACAAGGTAGGTCAGATCTGTTGATCATTTAGTTGTTGTGTGCTGTACTCAACTCAATAGTACCTAACAACAACTTTCTATTCTACTTTGTGAAAAAGAAAAAAAAAAGGATTCAAAGTTCACACCATGACACTTCAATATTTCACTCTGGTTTTTGCTCCAGCATCCAGCGTCCACAATTTCCCATAATCTTTTACTTTAGTGTAGTTCGTTTTATGAAACAAAATTGTTACAATCATTTAAAAACCTTATCTACGTACAGAAGATTTTAACTGTGCTGGGGAAGTTGTAAGTGACATGAGCTATTCCTTGGCTCCTTTTGAAAAATCTGCTTTAAAAATACCTGTGCTCTCTAACAATTACCAGTTATCAAAACCCTTTCCTAAGGTTTCAAAATACTTCTTTATATGGAAACTACAAATCCCATGAGGCAAAGCAGCAAACAGCCACACCCCCGGGCCCCTCCCTGCCCATCCCCCTTGAATCTAGTCAGCTAAATCTCAGGTTGAGGTATCCGGAAATATGCCTGAAAGAATCTCCTGCTCTTGCATGTCGGGGTGTAGCTGCGCTTTTGCTGGCTCCTTTAAATCAATGCGGCGAGTGAGGAAGGAGACAGGGCGACGCAGAGTGGGGTGGGACGAATCACGACCATCACCTGTTCCGCGAGGGGCATGCGCAGTGTGAGGGCGCGGGCGGGGAGGCGGGGCGCAGTGGGAGGGGCCGACGGCGCCTGGCTGGCACCGCTCAGATCTGCTTCTCCCCGGCTCCGGCCGCTGAGGTGGCGTCCGGGAGGCGTCTTTTGCAAAGGTTGCCTCAAGCTGCCCAACATGGAGGAGGCACCGGCCGAGGGCGTCACCTGCGAGAGGGACTAAGCCCTGCCTGGCTCTCTGGGCAGCGGTGCCGGGCCCCGAGCCCGGAGACGCGGCCGCTTGCACGCCCCGCGGTGGACCCCGGCGCGGGTTGCAGCTCGGGCCGTGGGCTTCCCGGCGGGAACGCAGCTCTGGGAGGGCGCTCGGCGGCCCCGCTCCTCCTTGAGCCATGGGCAACGAGGCGAGCTTGGAAGGGGAAGGGCTCCCCGAAGGGCTGGCAGCGGCGGCAGCAGCGGCCGGAGAAGGGGCTGGCGGGGCGGGGAGCCACTTGCACACCCTGATCCCAGCCGGCATGGAGACGGATCTGAGCCAGCTGAGCGAAGAGGAGAGGAGACAGATCGCTGCTGTCATGTCAAGGGCGCAGGGGCTGCCCAAGGGAAGAGTTCCCCCGGCCGCTGCGGAGCCGCCTTCCATGCACAGGCACGCACAGCATGATGCATATGTTCAGGCATATATGTACAGCTGCCCGTGCACATATGTGCCAAGCCATATGTGCCAGCACGGCGGTACATATATGTTGTTTCCGTTCATTTTATTCTCGCTAATGGAGTGCCAGTTGAAAGCGATCATAAATAAGCCTTCTGAGGGGCAGAATAAAATTGATGCATTGTAGAGTTTCTGGTGGGATAGTTAAGGGTTGCATTCTTAGAACAGTGATTGTAGGTTGTGATTTCTGGCCTTTTGGAACCTTTTGCCTCTAGGTTGCTGTGGAGAGACGCCCTCCAGCGTTTTACTAATCTGGAAGTCTTCCATTAATACACCACGGATGTGCTGGGAAATGGATAGAGCTGGGTGTTTACCTGTCTCTGTTTAAACCTCTGTGGACACTGGAGGTCTTTTGCTCTGTGACTGATCTGTCATTTTTGCTATAACACTCCCTTTCATATCCTTAGAGGTGATTTTCCCTTCACCCCTACATACCCCCCCACCCACCCAGAGAACAAGAAGGTGTTTAGGTAGATGATACAGAATGAATATACTTTTTATGGTGACTGAGAGCCACTGAAATATGTTGTGACTTTAAACAGATGGTTGGGTCACAGCATAGCAGGTGCTGGACATGTATTTCTGAATTAGCATATGCTATTTTTTAAACTACTGCTGTTTTATGTGTGCAGTGACTTTCAGGTTCTAGAATAATATGACAATTTTTACTACCTAGAGTGAGTTGTTAGTATCTTGTTTTTAAGACAAAAAACAATTTGTGCACCCAATTAAGAGAGCTAATCTATAATTTTAATCTTTTAATATCCCTCTCTAGATCTTAATTTTCCTTCATTCCTATAAATTAGTTGCTTTCTAATTAGTATAGTAAGAAGTTATAATCGTACAATCATACTACCTGCCCGACCAGCCTTTATTATTGTAAACAAACCCTTTAACGTGCAACCTCTCCAGAGAGCAGTTCTCTGTCCATGGTCCTGAAGCCACTCTCGCATTATGACAATTTAAGGGTAAATTATTTTTCCTTAGAAGTTTTAGAAATTGGAGAGGCAAAAATAAATCGATGTACATTTGTTCTACTTGATTACATTGTAACATCACTTAAGTATATGCAAATAATTTTTCAAATTATTCTATGGAATTTAGTATTCTTAGGAGAATTATACACAATTTCATTGAGTGACAATATTTTCACCGTAAATCTTAAATGTTTAAAATATATCAGAGAAATAACACTACACAATTTTAAAAGAAAACTATCAGTAATACTATATATTAGTCACTTTATGTTGAATTTATTTTTAAACTAACAATATTTGAGATGGTTTCTACCATATAAAACCTTTCTTATCCTTTAATAGCCCAGTTTAGGATATACACAGTAATTTCTCTTTTTGATTAAATCTTGGTCAAGAAAAAAAATCACAATTTTTATTCACCAAACTTTATAATAACAAGGTATAATTCTCTTTTTGGTCATTGAAAAATGTTGCCACTACTTAACGATTCCCCGCCCCCCCCCCCTTTAAAAGGCACATGCAACAGGTATAGCATGCTGGTTACAAATACCAAGCAAGAGTGAGCTTCCATAAGTAAATTTCTAAAATTTTCTGTTCAGAAGGTGATTGAAAAATTTTATTTTAATCTGTTTGTTTTATGTAGTATTTGTACTTTCAAGCTTTTTAGTCTATAATTATTAAGGTAGAATTATTATTGTTAGGTAATCTTTGTCCTAAAATTCAAATAAGTCTATGATTTTTGTAGCTTGCTTGTATTTTACTCAAGGATTTCTATAAAATACATGCAACTTTTATAAAATTACTAAGGTTATGTGTGAAGGCCAAGACCCCAAAACTATTGATTTATGTAAATGAAAAAACATATATAGTAAAGTTATATGAAGTTTTGAGAGAGTTTTGTTGTAAGTTGACACTGAATTGATTCTGGATCTTAGGGATTCCATGTGATAGAGTAGAACTGCATAGAAGACTTTCTATGCCTGTAGTCTTTAAGTAAGCACATCACAAATCTTTCTGCCACAGAGTGGCTGGGCAGACTCAAACCACCAATCTTTCATTTACCACCTAAGTGTTCAACCATTGTACCACCAGGGCTCCTGTTAAGAGGTTAAGTGAGTGAAATGGTTATGGTGGAATTTCCTTTATTATTAAGAAATAAGAATTGCATTGAAACCTAAGATTTTAACTTTAGTGGGCATGCAACTTGCATGTGCCTATCATTAATTCTGTTTCAGTTTCCTTGCCTATAAATAAGGCAAGTGATACCTATCTTAAGAAGTCATTAAAAATAGAAAGGGCTATTTTTTTTCCCGATTTGAAGGATCCTTGAAAGTATAAAGAATGATAACATTAAAATCAATAATGAAAGACTGTCATACAAACAGATTTTATATCAGCTAATTTACTGGAAGGATATCTTTTTATGCATTTATATTCTTTTGTATATGGAGAAGTCAGTTCGATGCAGTAGAAAACCCTATTCCTCCCCTCATTCTTGGCCAGGAATCAGGATACAGATTTCTCCAGCTGACTAGTTTTATGACCTTGACTTGGTCTTTCATCTTTCATTTTCCCAGTATCCTCTTATGTGTACAATGAAATAGATATTCCAAAATTTGCTTATATTTCTTACATTGTAAAATTTTATGTGACTCAGCACTGTCAAGTTCAGTGTCATTGCCTGTTGTGCTAGTTTCTTAAAGGTGTTTTAGCATTTTAGTTGCTTCAGCATTCTTCAGTTGCATATACTTCTCACAGTTGCATATGTTTATAGCTGTAATTTTTTCCCTACTAAAATGAGAGAAAAATTCAGATTTGTGGATGAAAACAATAAAATTAAAAGGAAGGTAGTAAGAAATAGAAATACTAGTTATAATGGAGAAGTAGAAGACAAATTGGATATGATATGTTTCTAGAATTTTTTTTTTTATTTACTGTAGTCCTAGGGAAAATACAGTTATACACTTTTTGTTCTCATTCTGTATACACCTGCATTCATGTCCTGTGAGAGATGTTTAGCTCTACAACTGTTCTGCTCGGGAGCCTATTTTAAAGAATTCTCACTGATACAGTTATTTCCTTTAACAGTCCTTTGAGCCACCCTTACTGGGTATAAACTTGTGTAACTCGTTTGCTTCCCAAAGCTGCAGGTCAGATTCAAGTTCTAAAAGAAAATGTAAAATGTATCCATATGAATCTCAGAGTACCAATAAAGTGTCTGAAGCAAAAAGAATTCCACAGACATTCAAGTAAAACAAACTTGTTCATTCCTTTATTTACCAGTCATTAATGCACATATATTAGTAGCCAGGCAGGATTCTGATGATGGAAAAATGATTGAAACAAATTTTCTGTTTAGGAGATTATAGTATAGTACCTAAGATTCACCAGTTTTTCATTTTAACAGAACAACTCTTACACCAAACAGCTAATTCACTAAAGACCATACTTAGCCTGGATTTCTTTCCTCCCCCCTTCCATACCATTTAATGCTGATATCTTCTCACTGATTTTCTTTCTTTTCTCAATTCCAAAGTCTTCATGATTTACTTCTAGTTTCATATTTGTAGCAACTAAAACTAAATTTTAATTTGAGTGTCTTTATACTTGTCATTTTATGCCAGAGGTAATTCAATAATGTAACATTTATGACATGCATGGAATTATAGTTTCTATTGCAAAAAATCTTACATTCAGTTTTAGTGTTTATTGTTTGCACAAGTATTTGGTCATAATTAAGATAATTTTTGCTGATAGAATAAGTGAAATGATTTCACAGAAGTGATTAAAATAAGTTTGATAGTACTTCAAAGAAAGACACTGTGGTGAAATAAAATAGAAATTGTTTCTACTATAAGGATGACTTTTTTTTATTCTGTTCAAAGGAATGAACCCATTCAGTGAAATGCTTAAGTACTAATATATTAAATTACACCTATAAAGTAGTACCTGAGCACGGGTCTTCAAAAGATGAGATGCTATATATTAATTGACTGTACAGAATTTCTAGAATAATCTGAATAATACATACCTTTTGAAAAGAATTTAAGTAAAATATTTTTACTCTGCCCATTTATGGAATGGTATAAAGAAACATTCACAATGAATTTTCTGGAAATGGAAATGTACAATAATACACTTAAAATATTAGAACATTTGGAATTTTTTGGTACCTTGTTTGAATAAAAACTTTGGAGACTTAAAGGAGCTCTGGTGGCCTAGTGGCAAGAATCTGCCCTGCAATCCCAGAGGTGCATGCTTCGAATCTACCAGATCCTCTTCTGGAGAAGGAGGGACAATCTCCTCCAGTACCAGTCAGATCAGATTTGATGGTACACACACACACAAAATAATAAATATTTTTTAAAAATTAAAAGCAAAACCATTTTGGAGACTTGATTGGATGTAAATTTTTAATTATTTTTTTTCTGGCATGAAATTATCAGGCCAAAGAATTTTGACTTACTGACTTTTTTTATACAGAATCATTTTGTTCACAGATTGCCATTTGTAGATTATGCTCCTCATTCCTGAGCCTTTGCAATTTAGAAGTAATACTTTCCAGTTTTTTTTCTATTCCTTATGTCTTATGCCTTGATTTATACTCAAAATTTCTATGACAAAACTTAATTCATACTGTTTCTACTTGAAAGTTCATCGTCTGACCATGAAAAGCAAATTGGAATATTTACAACTTTCTTTTGATCTATATTTCGGTTGTCACTGATACTTTGCTTCTTTTTGTTAAATAAAAATATTAATCTCTCCCAGATATGAAAAAGCTACAGGTAAAATACTTATGAGGTTCTCCTTAATTCTAATATACCATGTTATTTTTAATTGCAAATTAATCAGTTAAAGAATGGATTCTTTTAAAAGTCAGTGTATACAAGATGACCTCTAACAGCAACAAAGTATGTGTAATACCTATTTTAATTACCCATAGTCATTTAAAAGTAATCATGTGTCCAAAACTATTTTTAAAATTATATTTTGTGTATGATTTAATGTAAATCAGTGACTTAAGATAAGTCCCATATTAATTTTAAATTATATTAATGTGATTAATAGTGCTGTGATAATGTTAGCACAAAATAATGACCCAGGCATCAAGTAAAGTGATCGTTATGTCTGTGCTTCATTTGAGTCAAGTATATAGTACTTTCTGAAAATGAGTGAACAGTTTAGATCATTGCTATTTACATTTATCTCAAATATTGCTGTTATTTGGTAATCTAACTTTCTTTGAACTTGTGATACAAAAGATGCATGCTGGACATAACATACCTTACTTTATTGGTTTTATACATTAAGTTTAAGATTCTGCTTATTGTAAATATAAATCAGTTTTGCTCTATGTATTTTTCTAATTGGGTAACTTACTTTCTCTCCACTTAAGTAGCAAGTTTTGTTGGTTGTTTTTGTGTGTGTGTGTTTGTTGTTATTGTTGTTGTTTTGTTTTCCATAGCTTCTTACTAGAAATTTTTGTCTAAGTGAAGAAAAATAACTGAAGCAATATAGTTTATCTGATAGAATTTAGTATGGTACAAAAATAGATTTTAATTTTATTTATACCTGTATTGTTTAAAAGATTTAGAAAAGAATATATTAACTGCTATCACGTCTACTACGACCCACAGTGACTTTAAGAGTCTCAAGAAAGTAATAACTTTTGAATATCACTTTAATTTGAGATAATTTTAATTTCTTTTTTCCTTCTACTCTTGTAGAAAACAAGAATTGGATAGTAGTCACTCTCCAAAGCAAACAGGAAGACCGCCAGATCCTGGGCGTCCATCTCAGCCTGGTCTCAGTAAGAGTAGAACTACAGACACTTTTAGGTCGGAGCAGAAATTGCCTGGAAGGAGTCCTTCCACTATTAGCTTAAAAGAATCAAAATCCAGAACTGATTTCAAGGAAGAGCACAAATCAAGTATGATGCCTGGCTTCCTCTCAGAGGTTAACCCCTTAAGTGCTGTCTCCTCTGTTGTAAATAAATTCAACCCCTTTGATTTGATATCAGACTCTGACACGTCCCAGGAAGAAACTGCCAAGAAACAAAAAGTAGCTCAGAAAGAACAAGGAAAACCTGAAGGAATCGCAAAGCCTTCATCACAACAGTCACCCAAGTCAGTTCCAAAGCAGCAAGGGCCTCATAAGGGCCCACTTCAGCAGGATGGCTCTCCCAGATCTGCATCTTCTCAGCAACCAGAAAAGATGAAATCACAACCTTCAGGAGCAGGCCCTAGTCTGGGACCTTCACACACACCTCAGACAGACCCAGCAAAATTGCCACTTCAACGGGACTCATCAAGACCTCAGACTAAACAGTCAGATGTAGTCAGGGGAGAATCGGCTAAACCCTCACTGCAAAGCCCATCTAAACCACCTACGCAGCAAACAAGTTCTGGAAAACCTGCAGACCAGCAGCCTGGACCTACAAAACCCTTATCTCAGCAACCAGAGTTGGTGAAGCCTCCACCTCAGCCACTGACAGCAAAGCCCCCAGCTCAACCACCTCCATCAACAGCAAAGCCTTCTGCTCAACAGCCTGGACCAAAGCCTTCAGCCCAGCCCTTGGAGACTGCAAAGACTACAGCTCAACAGCCAGGTCCTGCAAAACCCCCTGCTCAACAGCCAGGACCTACAAAACCTCCTACTCAACAGCCAGGCCCTGCAAAACCCTCTACTCAACCGCCAGGACCTGCAAAGCCCCCCACTCAACAGCCAGGACCTGCAAAGCCCCCTACTCAACAGCCAGGACCTGCAAAGCCTGCCACTCAACAGCCAGGACCTGCAAAGCCCACCACTCAACAGCTTGGTCCTGCAAAACCTGTTGCTCAACCTCCAGGATCTGCAAAACCCCCCACTGAACAGCCAGGCCTTACAAAAACCCCTGTTCAACAGCCCGGCCCAACAAAGACTCCTGCACAACAGCCAGGCCCAGCTAAGAGTCCTGCTCAACAACCAGGACCTGCAAAATCCTCATCTCAGCCGTCTGTAAAATCAGGAAGCCAAACAGGATTTGGGAAACCTCTGCAGCCTACAGCTTCTCCATCTGCAGCACAGACTCCAGTACAAGACATCTCTAAAACCATCTGTCCTCTTTGCAAAACCACTGAACTTCTGTTGCATGACCCAGGAAAGGCCAATTTTAACACATGCACTGAATGTCAGACAACTGTCTGTAGTCTCTGTGGTTTTAATCCCAATCCACACTTAACCGAGGTGAGTACACTGCTTGATGAATTCTGTTCTTCAAGCTATGTCATTTTTCACAAATGATGCTGAGTTTATCTTTTACGAATGGTGTAGTTGTTCTCTTCCTTCCTCTCTACCATTTTTGTTTGTTTCATTTACCAGTTGCTGGTTAGAACTATTGTGGTTTACTTCAGAAAGAGCGATGTCCTAGTGACCCAAAAGGTGCCTCTGTCTAGTGGTTCGAATCTCCCAGTAGCTCAAGGGGGGAAAGATGAGCAGTCTCCTCCATTGAAATTTATAGCGCAAGCTCAGCTGTAAGTCAGTTCTGACTCAATGACAGTTCGTTTTTGGATTACTGGTAGAGAAGCACAGTTTAGGCCCATCAAAATGATTTTTTTCCTTACATTTTCTCAAGTGTAAATTTAAAACAGTATTGAATTTTCTAATAAACTTGGCATGTAAAACAAATATTAATTGCTTCAAAGAAATGGAGCATTTCCTTAATTTATACTGACTGTAAGAATCACACTCCTATTTTGTGTATGTAGATGTTGCTTTATTTTTAAATTCATACTCCTACCTGTCAAAATGATGATACTCTTATTCAGTATTGTATTTGATTTATGAAAAAAGTAAACAGGATTTGAAACTTTTAAAACGTTTTGGTATATAATACTGAATACAATTTTTTCAGACTATGTATCTCCTTCCCATTGATTCATATGACCTAATGAGGGCAGGCTTATCTCATTAGTTAAGAGTTGTTGATAACAATTTATAAAAGTTTACAAAATAAGTCATTAGAGCAAGTTTGACATTGGTGTCTGTCATCTCTACAGGATCTCAGTTTATATCACTAAATGACTAGGTGGACCTTTCTGACACATCAGATCATAAAGGGCTGGTACATCCTTCCCTACTTAGCTTAATAACAGAAATCTAATTCTCAGCAAGGCAGTTAATAAATCATAACCTAAAGCCCTGAAGAAAGTGGCATGTCTATAGACATATAGAGATTTGGGAAAATTCTAGGAGGAGAGGGTGGAAATCACACAGAAATATGAAAATTTAGAACTTCTCTGCAATTAGGAAATAATATAGTGAAAATAGACTGTTGTAAAGTGAGAGAAAGAGACTTACCGTCTGCGAGAGGTTCATATTTTAAAGAGAATTGATGTCCCTCCCTGATGAGAAGTCACAGAACCCATTTAGTCCATCTGGAGGACAGCTGGTTAGTGGGCTGTCCATGCATCCTGTCTGTGAATAGCCCAGTAAGGAGCCGGCAACAGGCAATGAAGGATTATGTGATTTAACTATCCCTGAGAGAGGAGGCTTATGTACTGTTGTTATATGTGACATCTATGTTATGATAACAACAATGATGATTACTGGTAAATGTTGTGCTAATGAGGATGTTGATTATATTGAAGGATAAAAGGATATATATTTAAAATATTTCTACATCTGTTTTTTTTGTGAAGTATCTTTTAACCACTGTTTTTAAAACCTCATTTACTGATAAAGCATGCTACACTAGAATTATGGAGAAATTAGATATTCATTATTTTTATTTTCTATACATAGTTCTTTAATTTTGGAAAATACATTTCTAGCCATTACCTGCTACTTAGATGGATACTTTCTGTACTAATTTGATTTTTTTTTCAATTATGGTGTTTATTAATGAAGTCAAAAGGCAGATTAACAGCAGGATATAATCTCTCAGGACAGTTTCCAAAATGTGCTCGCAGGCACATCTACCTTCATCTTCTTGACATTAGGCCAGTGATGTGATATTATATAGTATTGGACTTACTATTTTTGTGTGTGTGTGTATTAAGAATGCAGTAAGCAACAGCTAGGTGAGTGTCTGTTATGTAGAGGCATTTTGCTCCATATTGTGTAGATATAAATACAATAGAAATATAAATTCCAATCTTAACATAATTAAGATGTATTAAATAAGAGGAAACTGGGAGCTTAACAACTGTGCTGCCAACTCATAACCAGATTTTTTAATCCATCAGCTGCTCCACAGGAGAAAGATGGATAGTTTTCTACTTTGTGATTTGTAGCCTCTAAATACCTGCTGACCTGCTGTAGGGTCAGCAATGGGTCAGTTACAACTCTGCAGCATATAAGGACAACAACAGCAAAAACAAACATATTCAAAGAAGTGTGTGGGCAGCTGATGAGAGCTCTGATCCATATGGACAAATATTATGGACCTGAGATTTTTATTCTTATGTGCCATCGAGTTGCCTGTGACTCATAGCAACCTTGTGTACAATTCTCTTAAGCCTGCCCTGTCCTGAGCCAGTCCCACTGACTCTGGCACACCTACCCCCACATCCCCAGATTAGAACATACTTATTTCCAGTATATGAGATGTAGCTTCATAGAAAAAATAACGTTGTTGTTGTTGTTGATTGCTGTAGAGTTGAGCATGACTCATAGCAACCCTATGAACAAAAAGGCCTGAAGACTTTGTATAACTATCGTCATTTATCAAAGTTCATGGAGTTTACAGAGGCATGTTGTTTAGGAATTAGATGTCACTCCTGCTTCTACATTAGCTGGGTACAGAAGAAGACGTATAGTTTCAACAGGTAGAAAGTAAAAGGAAGCAATCATGGGGCTCAAACTAAGCACTGGAAACGTACAGAGTATGTGCAGGGACTAGAATGGGCATTGATTTGGAGTTAGATTATAGATTGCATTAAACAGGTAACCTTGAGTACCCTTGGGGTTTTTTTTTAAACTTCTTTAATGTAGTCATACCTTTCAGCTTTCATTTGTTTTACTCATTTATATCAAAGAGTTATTAACCACCATAAAGCTTTATGGCAAATTAAATATTAACTCTTTCTTCATGTAGGACACAAGTTGAATAGAAGTTGTGTATAAGAGAAAAAATATATATATATTGTTGTTGTGTGCCATCTAGTTGGAACTGTCTGATAGCCGACCCTCCAGCAGATTTTCAGGGGCAGGAAATGACAGTGGAGTGGAGGAGATTACCCATTTTTCTCTCGTGGAGAGCTGCTGCATTTGAACTGTGTGCCTTTTGGTTTGCAGTGCAGGTTCTTAGCACTAGGCCACCAGAGCTCCTGAATACATATATAAAATAAAAGCAGCTTTGTGCAGTATTTTACATTTGATATAGTACGTGTTTTCCTCCTCTTGTTTTATCATAATTTACAAATAATTCTGTAGCAAAGATTCTGTTTTCTCTGTTTAATTAACAACGATACTGAGGTTAATATCATTACTGTGGTTTACTTGCTTCTAGATAGTAAATGACTGAGCCAAACCCAAGCCAGATTTTTCCTTATAAATCTATTAACTCATGATGGGAAGAAAGATAAAATACCTTGAGTTCAAAGGAAGAAGCCATCAATGTCAGCAGAGGTATTTCTTCATGAAACAGAAATATTTGAGCTGGGAATATGAAGGATACTAAGAATTAGGATGCACATAAATGGACATATGATGCATTGGACATGTGTAAGCAGATAGCCATTGCCAACTGACAAATGGAAGACATCATCCTTAGTAAACAGAGGAGCTTAGGCAAGACATTTACAGTTTCTGTAAGGATGTTGCCACTTGAAAAATGAAAATAGTGTGCTTCTGTGGGAAAAAAAAATAGGTTGCTAGAAGCATTAAATAAAAATTTTTAGGGCATTTTAAAATATATGACAGCTTTGGAAGTTGAAATATATTACAACATAGATAATATTAGAGTTTCAAATAGATTAAACTTTTAAAGTTAATAGGTATGTTACTTTCTACATATACACATATCATAAATTACCAGTTTGAGACTACAATACATGGATAATTGGTACTTAATATTAGTAGTAAGATTTAATTTAGCTTTTATGTCTTTTTGTCCCCCAATAAGGAAAATATAGTCTAAATTCCAATTATAGACTCTAGGACTATCTTCCTGTCCTCTCAATATTGTGGACAGTTACTTAACCATCTTAATAATTTAAAAGTTAGGATTCTGACCTCCAGAGGTTAAAGCTTGGATAGCAATCAAGAGCTCCAATTAGAGGAGATAAGATAGATTTCAATTGATGGATGACCTTACTAAACTCTTGTATGCATTAATGAAAAGGGAAGGTATATCTCTGCATCTTCCTAAGAAGTAGTAACACCCAAGGCTAATTCCTAACCCACTGTCGGTTCCTACTCTAGTTTCCTCAGGGATTTGGAATAAGGAAGCAAACATTTGTTTCTGTACAGGACAGAGACAGAGACTTCAAAATTATTTGGTACTTTAAATGTTTATGAGTTTGTTACTTTCAAGGTGGTTATTTATATTCAAGAGACTTCATGGTATCACTTTTGTATTCTGTCAGTGAAATAGAATACTTACTCTTGTATCTCTCCTTGAAAAGATTTAGAGAATTTCTTTGGCAGTATTCTTATTAGGAACACATTGGGGATTATGACTGTGCTTACTTTTATCATTGTGATTCTAGAGAGATATTACTATTCAGCCATAAACTTTAGAGAAGGAAATGTTTTATTTCCTTAATTATAAATTTGTACACACATACATTTGTGTGGAGAGAATGACCTAATTACCTTCTCTGTTGGCTGTTGAAGAGTTTATTTTTCCATCTACACCTTAAAAATCTACCCACTCAAGGCTGGGCTTTAATGCTGCAGGAATTTTACAGCTATCTTTTTCTTGTTTCTTTAATGAAATATATTTTTTTTTACTCTCTTTAGGCTTGTTCTCTGACCAGAAGTAGAGTATTTGCTTTCTGATTAGTGCTGGAGCACTGCTGTTGTTGATTTCTTTTATCTCAGACAAGATAGATGTAGGGACAGAGATTTAAAGACTTGTCTTTAATGGTAAATCTCATGAATTAATTTTTTTGATTATGAAAATGACTTGTCACTATTCAGAATATTGAAAATGAACTAAATATTAGTGATTAAAATAGATAGCAATTTTATTGTCACATTATTTTTTAATCATTATACTAATAGGGACATCATGCTTGGAA